AGGCTTCTTCCCGAGCCAATCTCCTGTGAGTGGACATTGTCTATTCATACACAGAACCTGGCTCAGCTTTGCACTCTCCTCATTGGCTCAGTGGCTGTAATTGAAAGCAGCAGGAGCCAATGGCAGGTATTAGAGGGGATGAGGGGGGAGATACACCCAGAAGGTTATTTTACCTTCATTCTTAGAATGCATGAAGGTAAAAAAAAAAACTTGAGTCGTTAGAACCACTTTAAGTAGGAAAGTAGTCAATGTTATTCTCCCAACTATTGCCTGGTCATGCAAATTTGAACGTACCCAATGCAGAAAACAATATTTTTTGATTTACCCCTAATCTGTATCCACTCAAATCCCACTTTTATCAAACACTTGACATGCATATTTTTATTTTTGTATGTAGTTAGGTGTATTACTGTGTTAGCAATAGGTTATAAAATGACTGTAAATGAAAAGTGATCTTACTTGACTGCTGAAAGTATTCGTAGTTGTCTTCTAAGGAACAATAAGCTCCGTTAATATAAATTATAATGAAATACTTTTTTCAATCCCATATATAATATTTGAACCTTTTTATAAGAATAGTAGGTGAAATAATTATTTGTATAAGCCATGGCTGCAATAGCAAATCTATTTCTGTACAGTATGTACAGTATCTCCCAGACGTGAGTACACACCTGACATTTTTTTAAATATTTGATTCTATCTTTTCATGTGACAACACTGAAGAAATGACACTTTGCTACAATGTAAAGTAGTGAGTGTACAGCTTGTATAACATTGTAAATTTGCTTTCCCCTCAAAATAACTCAACGCACAGCCATTAATGTCTAAATCGCTGGCAACAAAATTGAGTACACCCCTAAGTGAAAATGTCCAAATTGGGCCCAATTAGCCATTTTCCCTCCCCGGTGTCATGTGACTCGTTATTGTTACAAGGTCTCAGGTGTGAATGGGGAGCAGGTGTGTTAATTTGGTATTATCGCTCTCACTCTCATACTGGTCACTGGAAGTTCAACATGGCACCCTCATGGCAAAGAACTCTCTGAGGATGTGAAAAAGAGAATTGTTGCTCTACATAAAGATGGCCTAGGCTATAAGAAGATTGCCAAGACCCTGAAACTGAACTGCAGCAAGGTGGCCAAAACCATACAGCGGTTTAACAGGACAGGTTCCACTCAGAACAGGCCTTGCCATAGTCGACCAAAGAAGTTGAGTGCACGTGCTCAGCGTCATATGCAGAGGTTTTCTTTGGGAAATAGACGTATGAGTGCTCCCAGCATTGCTGCAAAGGTTGAAGGGGTGGGGGGGGGGGGTCAGCCTGTTAGTGCTCAGGCCACTGCATTACTGGAACCATGTCCTGTGGTCTGATGAGACCAAGATAAACTTATTTGGTTCAGATGGTGTCAAGCGTGTGTGGCAGCAACAAGGTGAGGAGTATCAAGACAAGTGTGTCTTGCCTACAGTCAAGCATGGTGGTGGGAGTCTCATGGTCTGGGGCTGCACGAGTGCTGCCGGCACTGAGGAGCTACAGTTCATTGAGGGAACCATGAATGCCAACATGTACTGTGACATACTGAAGCAGAGCATAATCCCCTCCCTTCGGAGACTGGGCCCCGGGGCAGTTTTCTAACATGATAATGAACCTAAACACACCTCCAAGACAACCACAGCCTTGCTAAAGATGCTGAGGGTAAAGGTGATGGACTGGCCAAGCATATCTCCGGACCTAAACCCTATTGAGCATCTGTGATGTCATCATGGATGAGTGAAAGAGGACTCCAGAGGCAACCTGTGCAGCTCTGGTGAACTCCATGCCCAAGAGGGTTAAGGCAGTGCTGGAAAATGATAGCCACACAAAATATTGACACTTTGGGCCCAATTTGTACATTTTCACTTAGGGGTGTACTCACTTTTGTTGCCAGCGGTTTAGACATTAATGGCTGTGTGTGGAGTTATTTTGAGGGGACAGCAAATTTACACTGTTATACAAGCTGTACACTCACTACGTCACATTGTAGCAGTGTGTCATTTCATCAGGGTTGTCACATGAAAAGATAGAATAAAATATGTACAAAAATGTCAGGGGTGTACTCACTTCTGTGAGATATTGTATGTCACTCTGAAGCTTCCTATAACTTGGCCTTGGGTATGATACATTGGATTTAGCTGTGGTTTAGACTGCACCTATCATATCTTCTAGTGTGCACACTCTTATCAATACTACATTACGGTATGAGGATTAGCATAGAGGTCAGTCAGCTGCAATCTGCACTGTTTTTCTTGGGAAAGTGCATGTGATCAGCACAGGGCCAATCAGTACTGACCAGACAGAGGTTGGGGGCTCTGCATTCTCCTAGAGCAAAATGAAGACTCCTCTTACAAGCTTTAACCTGTGTTCGGCTGGACACTGATAGAAGTCACAAGACTGCTCTAACTGCTGATGAGAAAAGGTATTTAGCAGTTTATATTTATGAAAATAATTGCACTTCCATGTTCTATGTACTGTGGGAAACCAGATATAGTGAATGCAGGGTCCTGGGTTTAGTAACACTTAAACTATATGTTCTTAAAATTTCAGGCATCTATGCTACACCCTGTTCCAAATTATTATGCAAATTCTATTTAAGTGTCACAAAGATGAAATATTTTGTTTTTCAGTTTAACTCATGGATGGCATTGTGTCTCAGGGCTCTTTTGATCACTGAAAACAATCTCGGACACCTGTGATAATTAGATTGGCCCGTGAGCCCAATTTAAGGAAAAACTGCTAAAGGAGGGCGTTCCACATTATTAAGCAGAGCACCATTTTTAGGCAATATCGGGAAGAAAAAGGATCCCTCTGCTGCCAAAAAGAGTGAAATAGTTCAATGCCTTGGACGAGGTATGAAAACATTAGATATTTCACGAAAACTTAAGCGGGATCATCGCACTATTAAGAGATTTGTGGCTGATTCAGAGCACAGACGGGTTCGTGCAGATAAAGGCACATTGAAGAAGATTTCTGCCAGATCCATGCATCGGATCAGAGAGCAGCTGCTAAAATACCTTTACATAGCAGCAAACAGATATTTGAAGCTGCTGGTGCCTCTGGAGTCCCACGGACATCAAGGTGTAGAGTCCTCCAGAGTCTTGCAACTGTGTATAAACCTTCTATTCGGCCACCACTAACCAATGCATGAAGACTAATTTTCAAACAGTCCTGTTCACTGATGAGTGCTGTGCAACCCTGGATGGTCCAGATGGATGGAGTAGTGGATGGTTGGTGGACGGCCACCATGTTCCAACAAGGCTGCGACATCAGCAAGGCGGTGATGGAGTTGTGTTTTGGGCCAGAATCATGGGAACAGAGCTGGTCGGCCCCTTTAGGGTACCCGAAGGTGTAAAGATGACCTCTGCAAAGTATGTGGAGTTTATGACTGACCACTTTCTTCCCTGGTACAGAAGGAAGAACTATGCTTTCCGTAATAAAATCATCTTCATGCATGACAATGCACCATCTCATGCTGCAAAGAATACCTCTGCATCAATGGCTGCTACGGGGATAAAAGGAAAGAAAGTCATGGTGTGGCCTCCATCCTCCCCTGACCTCAATCCTATTGAGAACCTTTTGAGCATCCTCAAGCAAAAGATCTATGAGGGTGGGAGGCAGTTTACATCCAAACAGCAGCTCTGGGAGGCTATTCTGACATCTGGCAAACAAATTCAAGCAGAAACTGTCCAAAAACTCACAAGTTCAATGGATGCAAGACTTGTGAAGCTGCTATCAAATAAGGGATCCTATGTTACAATGTAACGTGACCTGTGAAAATGTTTAAAAAGTTAAAATGTTCTTAAAAGTTTGATTGAAATAGCTTTTGATTTCAGTAAATATGCTGCAAACACAACAAATGACAATTTTCAGTTCTTTACAACCTATAAAGTGTTTTGAAACTTACTGTGCGTAATAATTTGGAACATTGCATTGTAAGTTCTTTATGTTTAAAAAAAATACTGTTATCGTTAGGTTTGTTCAATAAAATTTGAATTGTACTCTTAATAGTTGATAATGAGAATTATGCTGACTATTTTTTACATCAATTATTTAGGTAAATGAGAAAAATATCATTTTGCATAATCATTTGGAACAGGGTGTATAAATTGTGTATAAAATAAATGGAATTTACAAAATACAAGAAAAATGGTATTGCTTACCCAATACAGTTTTTAGACTATTTTTTGACTTTACAGGCTGATGAGCTTCCTCAGCCCAATTATGCACCGTTCTACTGGGAAAATGTGTTACAATGTAGAGGCAGCAAGGGGTTGGGTAGGTAGTGATAGCCTCCAGGTTTCTCTCATCACAACATTTTTTTTAAAATGCGATAAAGAGTGAAGGATGCTTCTCCATTCCTCTAAACATAGACACAACAAGGTTAAACCAAAACAATATATGCCTTGTGAGCTGCTATATGACCACTTAATTGAAGTTGCTATCACCCTTTCTGACATGCGTATAAATGTGTCCTAAATACCACAATGGTAGCTGACTGTGGCAAAGGCCAAACTGAATGATTTTCTTCAAGACATCTCTCTATACACCCCTTTGTTGACATCCTTCAAAAAGCACCTTGGCCTTTGTAGTCAATGGCTTGCAACTAGCATACGGCAAGTAAAGTTAGAACACCTGATTTGCATAGTTGGTCCAGGTCAGTAACCCAGGAAGTATTGAAGCCCTTTCTAACTTATTCTCAGTAGTTTCCTTATAGAATTAATAGTTCATAGATTTTAGCTGGTTGGCTGACTGTTACTGTTTAAGACTTTTGAAACTATGTTTTTTTTTTTGTATATTTTATGCTTCATTAGCAAACACGCATTGCTTTCAGGAAATTAAAAATCGGCTGTATTTTATGTCCTTTTAATGTTAATCTGAAGGTGTAAATTAAATCTAATGTTACTTTGTATTTAACAGGATCTTTTATAAATATATTCAAATAAATTTGTAATTTAAATCTGTTGTGGTTTGTTCAGCGACATCCATCTTGAAGAGGCAGAAACTCCTGAGACAGAAGAATGTGCGCTTCGACCAGGTGACTGTATACTACTTCTCCCGGCGACAAGGTTTCACCAGCGTGCCAAGCCAGGGGGGCAGTTCCCTAGGTATGGCACAGCACCACAATTCTGTGCGGAAATATACACTGTGTGAGTTTGCACAGGAACAGGAAGTGACACATCGAGAAATCTTACGTGAACACTTGAAGGAAGAGAAACTTCACACAAGAAAAATGAAGGTGAATGTCTTGTCCTTCTATCTGTTATCAGGTAGCCATCCGTACTTTCTGAGCCAAGGTGATCCTGTATATAAGTGTTTTGAAGGAAGATCAGTTATTGCCAAAAGCACTGTGGCATAATGAAACTGAATATTTTGTGCTATTGGCAACAAGAACTGTTTTTCCTCTAACCATACTTGTCAACAAGGAACTTTATTAACATTCGTGAAAAAAAGTGTCCCAGATATGTCAGCCCCTTCAACCCTTTTTAGTGCATTATTCATAGAATATAGAAACTTTCACATTACAATTAATGTCCCTCTTAGTCGTACTTGATAGGCTAGCTTGCCGAGCAGTATATTTGGAGTGTGGGAGAAAACTTGCATCAGTATAGGGTGAACATAGAAACTCTATGTAGGTAGAGATATGAGAAGAACTGAAGCCAGGATCCACTCTTCCTGGGCCACCAAGCCTGCACTCTTTGAGGCCATTCATGATTGTAAAATGTAATATACTGTTACAGCTTTTTTAATGATTTTTGAATTAACAAAAAATGCTCTAGTCATGTCACTCTTATACCATATTCTAAGGCTGAGTGTATATGGGCCAAATATCATCTGGTTCAACAGAAACCGGCTGACATTCAGTACAGCTGTCTTTCTGATAGAAGGATGTCAAAGGGATATGCTGGAAAACCAGCATCCGATCAGCACTCACAGCCAGTGGCTGCGAGCACTGATCAGTGTGTTCTGGTGGGGGGCAGCCCCCTGTTAGAACACAAAGGCACAGCGGGGGAGATTGCTGCACCAACATGGCTTGTGTTAGTATGGCAATCTATTTTTTTTTTTTTTTTCTGTTCAGCTCGCTGAGTTGAACGAAAAAAAAAAATCTTTTTGTGTGTACCAGACTTATATAAAAAATTACACCAGTGTAGACCAGACTTTTCTCAGTTCTAGTAACCAAATTACTTTTAATTTGGAATCTGATGGATGTATGTTTAACAAAGTATGAAAGGTACATTTTTTGGACATGGAGCTTCAAACGAACAACTTAGGCATCCTCCAAGGTGCACCCAGAGGTAGCTTAAGGCTGATGTACATTAAATGCACTTGCATCACCTTCACAGCCTCCTTTTTCTCTGGTCGCCCTTGGGGTGTATGATGAAACCTCCCTTTGGAGAATTATGATCTGTCTGGTATCATTCTCTTTCTCCAAATAGCCCCATACAGTAACTTATCCACCCTGTTTACAATGTATTTCCCTGCTAGTGTATGGTGACATTTAGGGCCAAACGTTAATAAAAACAAACCTGTTTGCCATTGAAGTTGATGGTACAACAATACTGGACCCGAAGGTTAAAGGTTGCAGTAAATATCAATATACTGTAATGCAAATTTTGCAAGTCTCTAGTGTACTGATGATGATCTTTCTGCTTGTATACTGTCAAATCTGAGAGGCTACTACATGTTAACTTAAATACATTTAGGCTCAATTTAAAATGCAATTCAGAATCGTAACTGTGCAAAGGTTGGAAAGCTAGTTCTAGTTGCCCTAATCTTTAATTCAACTTTAGGTTCAATCAGAAAAATACAAAATGTTGCAAAAAAAATATACCCCTGACTGATATATGACTGATCTTATCCTCATTTTTTTAGCTTTATGCAATATTTTAGCTCATAACTTCACTCTAACAATTCAATGCACATACATAAAACTTGTATGCTGGGAATTATGTAATATGAAATGGAGCATTTATCTCTTAAGTTGACAACCACTGCTGAAAGCCCTTATATCATCAAGGAGCTGCAGATAATGATCAGTCCTGCCACTTCCACTGCAGACTGCTGGGGTCCATGGGCTGCACAAGCCCCAATAAATTACAGACTGGGCACCAGAAATGAGAAATCCATTTTTGATCTTTTAAAAAAAAAAAAGAGCACTGCATGGTATTTTTCTTGAAAGTCAAATATTTTAACTGAAAATGTCATGTGTCTCAGCAATGTCTTTATGTGCTGTTGTGTTAGTTTTAATGTGGTTTTACAAGGGGTGTTCAAGTCAAACGTGGACTTTTAATTTTTACAGGTATAAAAAGGAATGCTAGCGTGGCGGTACTACATGTAGTAGTAAGTGCCAAGTATGTCCTATTACTGATAGGCGGCGCACATGTGGCAGTCCAGTCCACATGTCGCAGTCTGTTAATAAAGATGGCAGACAACAGTGTTAGTGTGTGCATGGAACAGCGTGTGGTGATGAAGTTTCTTGTAAACAATGGCGTAATCCATGGATTTCTGCAGAAGACTTCAAGCACAGTACTGTGATGAGACACTCAGTTGCAGCAAGAAATTTGAATGGTGTAAACGTTTCAAAGATGGCCGTACGTTCATGAGTGATTATTCCAGCTGTGGTGGTTCACAGCCCTCAGCATTCACTCCTGTAAACATTCAGCGTGTGGAACGCCTTATCCTGGATAATTGACACATAACCTGTCATGAAATTGCACAAGACACTAATCTTTCTGTGGGAACGATGAACACAAAGATGAAGTGAAGCAGGCTGTCCTAGGATGGTTCAGGAGTACTGACAAATCTTTCTATTCCAAAGCTTTTCAGCATTAGTTAAACACTGGAATAAGTGTATAAATGTAGCAGGATAGTATGTTGAAAAATAAATGCAGTTTCCAGTCCTTGAAATTTGTTCTTTTATTATAAAAAACTCAAAGTCCTGATTTGACTTGAACGCCCCTCATAGTACAAACCTTTTAGTTTAGAAAGAGACTATATATGGTATTCCCTTTATCTTGCAGTTATGTATATGCAAAGAATTTAGTATCCACCCATTGTCCTTTAAAATTTCATAGCATTATTATTATTCTAAGTCTTAAACAGGACAGGCAGAGATGCAAAAAATTCTTGTGTCTGTTTTAATATCATATAATTTGCAAATTCCCAACCTGACTAGCTGCTACTTTTTGTGTATTCTGATGGCATTTTCATTTGCAATACACTTCCCACATTCCACATCTCCCACCATATATGGGCCATTGGCCTGACTATCCACTATGCCCTTGTGCATGCCTGACCATTGGGTTTGTTCAACATGTTTGTCTACTATAATAATGTTTTGGCTTTTTCCTTATCTCCATGGGCAGCTGACAAAAAATGGTACCATAGAGTCTGAAGAAGCTGATGGCCTCACCTTAGAAGATGTGTCAGATGAAGATATAGATGTAGATAGTGTGGAAGTAGATGACTACTTCTTCCTTCAGCCGTTACCAACTAAAAGGCGTAGAGCTCTGCTCAGAGCAGCTGGAGTACATCGTATAGATGCTGAGGAGAAGCAGGAGCTTCGTGCCATCCGTCTCTCCAGGGAGGAATGTGGATGTGACTGCCGCCTTTTCTGTGATCCAGAAGCTTGTCCATGCAGTCAGGCTGGGATCAAGTGTCAGGTGGGTTATTGAAGTCTACTTTTAATGTATTGACCCCAAAGGGAAAAAAAGCTCTGTTATTTTACAGGGCATTCTAAAATCTATGCGAAGTCCTCCTTCTGTTTTGCTGTGTCTCTAATGTGGATCTCCTCCTTTGCCATTTCTGAAAACATTGCACTTTCTGAAAATGACTGCCAGAGCCCAGTAAAGTAGACATTTTGTGGTTTAATTTGCCATTCTGCAGTACCTGGGTAGCTGTCACTGAGCAAACATATTGCACAACAAAGCATATGTTCACAAAGGGAACTTGTACGTGTACTAATGGTGAGAGCAAAGTTTTTGCACAGTAGTAGATTTCTACTTTTGATTACCAAAGGTCATCACTTAGCCCCAATCACACCTATGCAGGTACGATGGTGCATGTGCGTATGTGCTATTGGGTGCATTGGGCTGCCCTGGGCATGACAATTGCACAAAAGGGTGGCTATTTTTTTTTTTTTTAATCTCATTGCATTGGAATGCATACCAATAAGTTACCACACATGGTGTGACTTGGTACATGTGCTTTGGCTTGTTTGTTTAGGGTGTCATTAAGTATGAATGGCACCACAGTGAGCCGGCAAGAAATTTGCTACCACACATAATCCCTCGTTGCGTAAGTGCAAACACCTTAAACAGAATGCATAGTGGTTTTGTACATATTTTCTTTATTATATTTAGGATTTAATTAAAATAACGTTTTATAAAAAATTTATTTTTTAGCCTATAAATATCCACTTGCCCTCCTAAAGATTTACCTCCCTTCATGACCAGGCCATTTGTTTGCTATACGGCACTGTGCTACTTTAACTGACAATTGCGCAGACATGCAACACTTTACATAAATGAAATTTATATAATTTATTTTTTCACATGAATAGGGCTTTCTTTTGGTGGTATTTGATCACCACTGTGTTTTTTTTTTTTTAGCGCTACAAACAAAAAAAAAAAACTTAATTAAACAAAAAAAAAACAATAATTTTTGCTATAAAACATATCCAGTAGAAAAAATAAAAAAAAAAAAATCACATTTCTTTATAGATTTAGATCAAAATGTATTCTGCTACATGTCTTTGGTAACAAGAAAAAAATCCTAGTAAGTGTATATTAATTGGTTGTGATCAGGGACTTCCAGCGGGACCGTGATAGTACGGCGAGCATTCTGACACTGACACTGGGTGGGAACTAACTGTCACTGACATCTCCATTGACATTAATACAGTGATCAGTGCTAATAAAAAGTGCGCTCCTCTATCCAGAAATGCAGAATCACGTGTATATATACATGATTCTGCACAGAGCGGCCACCCTGTAGCAGTAAAACTGCTATAGGATGGTCACCAAGCGGATATAAATGATTGTATTTTAACTTTTTTTTTTGCCAGCAGGTGGAGCTGCCTGCTGCTTTTCATGGTCAGATGTTATTTCATTACAGCCTGTTATAGCTGCATTCACATGGCAGAATCGGTGTGATTCCGCCCCTAATTCCAAATTGCATTGCAATCGTGGCAAAATGCCCCACGCATGTTTGGGTGCCTTTCATACTTAATGGTAACTCAAACACTGTGCGATTTTGCTGTGATTCTCACGTGACAGTATCATGTCATAGTTCAAAGCTTGTCATCCACAAAGGTGCAGGAGCTGCTTCTTCGTGACAACTTTGCATGATGCATTTTCCTCAGATTGTGATGTGATTCTGTTGCTCGGCGAAATTGCACCACGTTTGAGGTGCCATTAAGAGTGAATGGTACCCAAACATGCCTGGTGCATTTTACCACGATTGCCGTGTGAAATGGAATCGCGGGCATAATCAAAGGGGTTCTGCCTGTAATTCAAAATCACAAAATGTAAATGCAACCTTAGAGAAACCAGTGGTAGGGATGGGCAAATCTGCCTGGCCCTGCCAATCTTGTTCAAAGTTTACGTGTTTTCAAGGGTTACATTAACAATACACAAATCTTTCAATCTTTACTAAAAGAATTAAGATACTGCAGCGGGCACAGCAGTATAGATTGAGTCAGCTTCAGGATCGATTTATTCAGGGATAATAGGCCAAAATGTACTAGAGACATAGTAAAATGAAGACACAGGCAATACAGGTGTTTAAAACTGCCCAGCAACAGGACTGTTTAAATGAGCAGGGCTAGGCCCAAATTTACTAAAGACAAAGTAAGCAGGCTGGGGTTTTACTACATGAATTAAGACACTGCAGAGGATACATCAGTGTAAAACTGGTCAGCAGCAGGACTGTTTTAATTAGGGACAGTAGGTCTAACTGCCGTTTACCTGATGTTTATTTTATCTATGGGGTAAGTTTCTTTTAAGGGATGATTTGTGCTTACAATGGTTTGGGTTAAAGCGTAGTGAAACCCAAAAACATATTTAATGGAGCTTACTATTTTTTTTAGATTAGGTGCTTGCATACGGTTTTTTTTTTTTTTTTCAATATATAAAATATTTGTTTTTTGGTTTTATATATGCTGTCTTAACTTTGCATTAATTTGAATTTTGTACCTTTTCAGCTTATTTTAGATAAAAGAGGGTGTACTGCATATCTTTCCGTGACACCTTCATAGTCCTTTATGGGCATTTTGAGGGCTTTTCAGAGCATGTGTGTCTCAAGACCACACATTCTGCATTAAAGTAGGGCTCCATGAAAAGGGGAAGTTTTGCTTTAAGGAGTCTTTCCCCCACTCCCCATTTATTATTGGCACCTTTGGGGAGCAGGGGGGAGTTGGTACCCAATTTTGACAGGTACCTTCTCCACTTCCAGTCCGACCGCCAAGGCAGTTTTTGTAGCTTCTTTTTTTTTCATCGCAGACTGGAGCGCTGCCTTAGGCTTCCAACATTAAAGTAGAATGGCAATTTCAGAGTCTATTATGGTAATGAAGCAACTTTTCAAAGTTATTCTGTTAACACAAATTAATTGACCTACCATACTACATGAATTGTGCTGTTCCAGCATGGCTTACAGGACCTTTGGGTAGGCTATACAACTACATCACTCAGCAGTTTTACATATGTGAAAACACTCTGCTTCGATTCCTTTTTTTTTCTATATATATAACCTGCCAGCAGATTCAGTTGACAGCACAGTTTGTGGGAAAAGATTTTAAAGTAGAAAAATGCTGCTCCAAAGTCAGACAAAGGGGAAAAAAGTGCCCATCTGACTTTAAGCTGTAAATCAAGATTATTTCATTTGGAATACTCTATAAAAAAGAAAGTTTAGGCATACTCTAGATTGGCCTGCATTTACTAGCTGTTTGGAGGAACAAATGTACCAAGTAATTTTAGGCCATTGTCCAGTGACAGAAAGTATTACATAAACTATTTACTGTTGCAGGTATCACCGACAGCAAAACTGCAGGGGGGGAGAGGTTGAGAGGATTCCTGAGATTCTCTGTAGCAGAAATATCATGCAGTATTACGCTACATTCACACTGTCCTCCTGCATTAATTTAAATGCCGGGGAAACTATATGGGATGTTTAAAGGAATGTCCCTGATGAAGTTCTCCAGCCTTTAAGTGCACATGGGTTTACATGCATTCAGTGTCTAATCTGCCATTGCAGGCAGAGAATTCTATTGTCTTTAAATGTAGCTAAACTGAATGCACAGTGTGAGCTATACATTTTAAAATCTTGACATGCATTTATATTCATTTAGTTACTTGAGTACTTACAGCAGTCAAGCAAAAGCAAAATTAAAAATCGGATTACACAGGCAACAATTCATGATATAATTGAGGCAACAATTCATGATATAATTGAGGCAACATTAGTGGATAAAATTAAAAAAGACATCACAATTTGGCAGCCTTGGATTGATGAATGCTTGCTGCCGGGCTTTGATAACATATTAGAATCTAGATTTACTCTATGAATATACACCAGTGACCAGATAAAGCTAAGAGGCCCTATGCCTGCCCACAACTCCCCTGGAACCCCCTCTCCCATTGTTACCCCCTCTCCCATTGTTACCCACCACACTCACCCAATCCACACTTTTCCTAGTTACAAAGTTTGTTTCCTCAACCAAACCTACAGTCTGATCCTAAACCTGTGAATAAGTATATTCTAACGCTGCTAAATAAATCTAAAATCCCATCCCCAAATCTGTATAAAACCTAATGGCGTATATACCACAGTGGTAAATCAGATTATAGTTCAAAATAAATCCTTTAAAATACACTTTCTCAATCTCCAGAGCTTCTTCACCATAATCACTTGTTATAAAACACTTAGTGGAATGTTGGATTTTTCTGGCAGCTATATTAGAGATATTCAACTTTGTGGGTGGGTGGTTATTAGAGCGTGGGTTTTTTGGTTTTTTAATCCTCAACATGATGTAGTAGTACTATTTCAAATTATTTTTCAAACTTTAATTACTTTCACTCTATTATTTGTACCTACCATTTTACTGTCATTACCTTGTGATATGATTGTACCTGTACTTTGGCATTCTATCTTGGAAACTAAATACATTTTGTTAACCATTGCATGCATTTAGAAATATCCTATTTCTTCTATCTAATTGCCAGTGTGGAAAAAGGCCTTATGGATTTTCTCATAAAGTATATATATAACCACAATGTTTGTTGTAAAGTGATTATTATGTAAAAAAAAAAAAAAAAAAAAAATCTGAACCTTTACAAATGTCCTATATACCTGCTCTATGCAATGGTTTTGTACAGAGCAGCCCCAATCCTCCCCAGGTGTCCCGCAGTGCCTGAGAGAGACAGTACGCAGCTCAGTCCTGCCCTCCACACCATCCTCAATGGCTGTGATTGACAGCAGTGGGAGCCAATGTCTCATTCAATGAGGAAGCAGAGACTCGGGAGAGCTTCGCTCAGTTGAGTATAAGGATGGGGCTTAGGGGGAAGCTGTACACTGAAGGTTTATTTTTTTACCTTCATGCATATAATGCATGAAAATAAAAAACCTTCAGCCTTTACAACCACTTTAAAATTTGGATGGAGTGGGAAAAGATTAGTCTGCCAGGATTTTGTGTTCTGTGAGGGAGATTGCACCTCTTATTTGTCATATTATTAATTACCAAAACAAAAAGAAAGGTGCAAAATCCTAAATTTTATAATTGTTACAAAAACAGGAGGGGAAGGGGGAAACCTTCCAATGAGGATACCTGTTCAAGTTGACAACAGTCTGAGAGGGAGCTTCATTCGCTTTGTAGAAATTTCCTCTGACCTCCTGTTTGTTCTTCACAACAGGATATCAAGGGACATTCTACCAATGAGATGAGGTCCGCAAAAAAAAAAAGGATTTTAATCCTTGTTGGCGTAGTGTGTTACCAATTGTTTTCTTGGTGACTGTGGTCCCAGCTGCCTGGAGATCATTGACAAGATCCTCACGTGTAGTTCTGGGATGATTCCTCACTGTTCTCATGATCATTGACACTCCATGAGGTGTGATCTTGCATGGTGCACAGGACCTAGGGAGACTGACAGTTGTTTTGTGTTTCTTCCATTTGCAAATGATTGCACCAACTGTTGTCACCTTCTCACCAAGCTGCTTGGCGATAGTTTGGTAGCCCAGTCCAGCCTTGTGTAGGTCTACAATCTTGTCCCTGACATTTTTAGACAGCTCTTTTGGTCTTTGCCATGGTGGATAGTTTGGAATCTGATTGTTTAATTGCTCCTATGGACAGGTGTCTTTTTTTCAGGTAACAAAATGAGAATAGCAGCACTCCCTTTAAGAGACTGCTTCTAATCTCAGCTTGTTACCTGTATGAAAGACACCTTGTAGCCAGAAATCCTGCTGAATGATAGGGGATCAAATACTTCTTTCCCTCATGAACATGCAAATCAGTGCATAATTTGTTAGACATGCATTTCTTTTGAATTTTTTGTTGCTATTCTGTCTCTCAGTGTTACAATACACCGAGCATTCGATTTTTACACTGATCATTTCTTTGTGAGTGGGCAAACATTCAAAATCGGCAGGGAATCAAATACTTATTTCCTTCACTATACCATTCGATTTTTAGACTGATCATTTCTTTGTGAGTGGGCAAACATTCAAAATCAGCAGGGGATCAAATACTTATTTCTTTCATCACTGTATATAAAAAGATGTGCATTGCTCCCTACTCAGTTTAATCCTTTTATCTTTTCTCTGAATTGAATAGGTGGATCGTATGTCATTTCCATGTGGGTGTTCCAGGGATGGCTGCAGTAACGTAGCTGGTCGCATAGAATTCAACCCTATTCGTGTGCGAACTCATTACCTCCATACTATCATGAAACTTGAGCTTGAAAATAAACGCCAACAGCCACGACCTCAGCCACCAGAACATGAGATAACTCCCGACTCCCTCACTGCCCAACAGCATCAGGAGACACAGGACTTCCATGAATTTATAGCTGAGAACTATCACTTGGAGAATGAGGCTGCTGTTCGGCACCTGCAAAGTGCAGAGGAGCGCCAGAGGCTGCTTGATGAAGGTGAAGAGACCTCTAGTGGCTCTAGCCTAAGTCTAGACTCCAGTGTAGAGAGTTTAGAAGTCTGTCTTCTGGAGGCGCCTATTTCGCTGCCACCGTCCGATTGCCATTCCTCCGACAATCCTGTCTTGCTGTCTTCTGACTCTTCTGTTCTCTGTTACACTGATGAAGACTCTGGGAGGCCAGCCTCTCCACCGGACTACACAGATGACAGCATGGTGTCCATTTATGATCAGAACTCAACCAGCTTAACTCCAGGGTCAGACATGACAGAATCGATCGCCTCTGAGACTACAGAGTCCAGTGGCTCAGTCCAGATAGATGCAGAGGATTACACAGTGATGACTCCTTATTGTAAAGAGGAAAACCTAGAACCAGAGCCTGCTGGGAATTCCTCTGACTTGGTAGCACAGACAAACAGGCAACTAGAAACCTCTATAAGCGAAGGAGGGAGGTTGCAGGAAAAGTCTGACAACCCCTGGTCAGGCCAGAACTTTTCTGCAGAAAGTTCCCTGACCATGTGACACTTTTGGCAAATGTTTTGCACAAGCTTCTCCATCTACTTCTTTCCAATCAAAGTCCTTTCCATGTGTGTACCTGTGGGAGATCTATTTATATTAGCATTGTCTTCATTTACAAATGTCTTTTTAATATGCGTGAAAAAAACGTGGATGTGCGAGAAGGGGGGAAAAAAATCTAAAGATGGTTCTGGGGCCTTCTTACAACTTTTCTGAGTTTGCCTAAGCCAATGAAATGCCAGCTCACCCTTGGGTATGTTTAGCTTTATAGGAGGATGGTTGCCATATTGCTGGGTTGTGTTGCAATATTATCCATGTTTCAAATTTGGTGACCACTGTAGAACTTTGCAATAGGCACACTGCTCAAAACCATTGTCTGATAAATTCAAGACTTTTACTTACAAACTAACAGCGCTCTATCTGTAGATCTACCACCTTCAAACACGTCTGTATGTGGTTTGGCAAGATTTGCTTACCATTTGGCAGGCTACCTTTTCCTTTGCATGGTTCCTTACTTTTTGGATTAATCTGTTGTGGCTCCCTAGCATCCCGTGTCTTCACTCCAACAGTCAATGTAGAAGGAATGGGAGCCTAACATTTAGACGACACAGATATACCCAGACATAGTATGGTGCTATTGAATAGGCTTAACTTTCAAATGATGGTGCAGAAGCACTTTAACTTCAAGACAAGACTAACCTACAGGACTTTACTCAACTTTACAAAGCTGCTAATCTTCAACGTGGACTATTTAAGGGGGACAGTTGTACTGTTTGTGCATTCAAATGTGCTAGTCTTTTATTGAAATGAGTTACGGTATTAATTTTAAGCACTGCCCTCCCCCCACCCAAGCATTAAGGGGTTTGTGCGATGTACAGTTTTTATTTTTTTATGTAGATTTTTACTTTGAAATATTTGTGTTAAATTATGAGATCACCAAATACGCCAATGAAAAATATTTATTTATAGGTAATAAGTCAACCTGTTACATTGTGGCAAATATTTTAAAAGCATACTGTCACTGCAGTGTTTTTAGTAAACTGCAGCTTTTCTTCCTTGGAGTAATTGAAATACAGTCCTAGCTTTATTGGCAAAATTCAGACATTTCTAAGACTCATTTTACCCAAGGACTAAATTAAATAAATCAGCCAATAAAGTTATTGCCACATACAGCTAGGCTGAAACGTATTTGTCTGTTGTCTTTCTTTGCTGTTGACATACTTGTCTTATTGTTTGCAGAATCCATCATGCATTATCCTAATGATAACTGTTTAAAGAAGTATTAAACCCAAAACAAAAAATGTTATATATTACAGCTTACCAATCCTTAGATGCCTTAGATGTGGTGGCTGCATTAGTTTTCTTTTTGTAGTTTTTTTTTTTTTTTGTCCCTCTGTTTTTTACCTTGTGACCAGTAACCAGGGAAAGTCTGGGGGGAAAAACAAAAATTGGGAAACTTTTTTTTTTCTGTTTTTTTTTTTTTTTCCAAAGCCAGTTTCTTTTTTTCCAAAAAATTGAAAAAAAGGAGTGTGGAGCATATTTTTACAATGATAAATAATGTATCTATGACATGGTATTCAGACTATATATCCTGAACACCCTCATGAAAAATTTCTGAGATTTCATGCAAAATCCTAAATTATTGCAAGTTCTCTCATCTGAATCCTGTAATACAATTCAAATAATACTGTACTTCTCAATGCAGTTCTGAAACCAGAGAAATATACATTTCTGTCACTAGGGGGCACTGTAGGGGAAAGGCTCCAGTTTTGTTTGCTTGCAGGCTCCATCTTATACCTCCTACAGTTGGGTGATTGTTGGGATACAGTAGATAATTTCTGTCCTTAATTGGCCTTAATTGACAATTAAGAAGGTACATTTGTCTGACAAATTAGTTTATCTCTATAAGCTTTAGATGATTCCTAATAATGTTCTCCACCATCACAGCATACTGTTTACCTATAATCTGATGAGTAAATTGGTTTTTCTTTTCCTCCTCTCAGTAAAATGGGGAGACCAACATATAGAGTTTGGAAACATTTCCACAGTGCAATTTCTGTTGAGAGCAAAGATGCAATCTGAAAATATTGTGAGAAGAAATATTCTTCTCCAAATGCTACATGGATAGCAAAACACATCCTGGCATGCCAGACGTGCCCTAAAAACATTAACAAATACTTTATGGAATTAAATGATGAGGACCAGAAACTCTGCTATTGGTGCTAAGGGGCAAATCTTAATTTTTTTTTGGGGGGGGGGGGGGTGTTGCTTTTGAGGGAAAGGGAGGTGGTTACCTGTTCTCATGTATAGTTTAAATGTTCTTAACATATACAGTCCTTGTTATTCCATTTTGTAATAAAAAAAAAGATATAAAAAACAACTTAGTTTATTTACTGAATAAGCTGTACTTGTAATTCAAGCATAATACCTTTATATACACTGCATTTCACCCTCGCAGTGTAAAAATTGAGTTTCAAAATTGTAAAACTACTCCACACTGAATTTGTTTTCAATTTTTTCCAGAAAAAAACAGGGGAAAAGTTTTTTTCCCATGGCTTCAAAATTTACAGAAATTTTACATCTCCACCAGTGACAAACCTGCTTTTATTAGTGCCCCCATTCAGGAGGCACCTTTGGACAGCTGCACTGTCAGTCTGGGGGAGGAAAGTGTTGGATGAACTAGTATATTTAGATACACTAACCAATTGAAGTCTAACACTTTATAAGCAGTTACAGCAACACTTTTTTTCCCTTTTAAGATAAAGGTTTTATGTAAAAAAGCTGATTATTGCAAGCACGCCTGTCAGTGGTAAACGGTTCATCTTACATCTACCTAAAAAAGAAAACTGCCAGCTACCACATCTAAGAATTTGTAAGCAGCAATATATAATGTTTGCTTTTGGGTTTAATACTGCTTTACCATCTAATAGCAGGAGTATACAGTACCTTGTGTAGTCTGGTCTGGGGAAAAAATTATTTTCTATGTACCCTCCAGGAGGTGGCTTTTAAGAAAAAAGATTGACTACAGCCTGTCTACCAGATATAAGGTAGTGAGGATGAAAGTAGACAACTGCTCTGTAAGTGGTGCTTCCACCCTGGTACCAGCGTGCTGTCAACTCTGTATATTGTATTCAAGATTTTATAGCTCTCTCCCTATGTGTTGGGAGAAACATCAAAAATACCTGTTTTTGGCCAGATATACAGTGCCCTGGGCCCTCTGTACTCCTGCCAATAGACTGTAACAAAATATGTTTTTACTGGGCCAGTGACCTGGCTAGATTGATAGAGGTCATGGCTAGAAGTTTAGCTATGCTTTATTTTTGGCTGTAGACCGTTCCTACAGCAGTTTCCTTGTCCTGGCCTATTCCCTCCCACTGATAGAGGTCCTGGCTTATCTATGAGCAGTTTGCAGTCCTAGACCTGTGAAAATGTAAGCCCTAATTGACTCTTCAGCTATAGTATTATGTATAGATATTGACACATGTGGCGTTTATAAGAGATGATACCTATAAAATACAATTGTATTTCTTCAAATGTAGCCTGTTTATAACAGGTGAGTATTTTTCAGAGATGTATAAAATGTGATATGAAGTTGCCTAAGGGGACCTTCAATGTGGCTTGGCACTTGAAGTAAATCTCGGCAACTGCCTTACATTTCCTAACGGGCACAGATTGGGTATGTTTAATACTGTGCATATTGTCTTACTTGACAGCTGTGTGGTTATCCTGTTTATTTTCTACCTGTTAATGTACATGTTTTTCTTCCCCTAACATGAGTGTTGTCACCAGTTACCAAACCTGATCACTATAATGAATATGAGTAAAGTATGGCCATTGTTATACTTTAGCCATAGCATGGCCTAAGTGAAAACATACTTTGCTAAAATTACTATGCGGCAATTGAAAGTCTTAACTGGCCCATAAACAGAAAGTGCAAATTATTCTATAGAGGGCTTGATCACAAGAGCCAGATTCCTCAATTGTATTCAACAGCAGCAGCTTGAAACTGGTTGCTACTGGTGATATCACCTTTAAATGTTCTGTGTTAGGTAAGGAACCTATTTTGGTCTATTGAAAGATGAGATCAATTCTATTCAAAGACCATTCCATTTTAGGGGGGCTTAACTGTGTCACAGATCTTGAATTGGTTCATTTTCATATTTGCATAAAAAAATGTACCATCTGCTTAGTATAGGCAAGCAAGATTAACTTCTGAAATATTTGTAAAGTAGGCCTAGTATTAAGAACTGTGTTTTTCCCCAGTGTTTGCTTTTCATATGGTAGAGCATAAACATTATGAACCTTTTGGAATTGTATCTGTAACACACATTTAAAGGATAAGTTCACCTATTTTTTTGTCTTGGGAGCCTGTAAAGCATTGTGTACCCCCGATCAGCATATTGCGGGTGCAATGTCAAGCTCTTGGGAAGGCAGTTAGAGAAGATCAGGAAGCTCAATGGACTGCGAGAGCACTCACCAGCACCTCCGAAGTTCAGTGAGAACTGCAAGCTGTCAGCCACCATGGCTGACAGTACTTGTAGACATTCATTTACAGAATTCTGTGAATGAATGACGTGACCATGTGGACAAAGCCCCACATGCCTGTGTTTTTCAAATTGTGACAGTGGGTGCAGGGAGAAGATCCCCTGTCTGCTGTCACAGGGTGGGGGCGGGAGGGGTGGATGTTCAACATATTGCACCCTAAATATGGGTGTAACATGTTAAGAAGAGCGAACTTATCCTTTAAGGGTCATTTTTCTGAATTTGATGTAATACAGAGATAGCAAACTGATTACTCTGTATAGAAATGACACGCTGATACTCGGGACCAAAACACAAGAACAAGCGAATGCAATTTCCAGTACATCATGGTCTGTTATTTCTTTCTAGTCCCTTTCTATGACAACAATTTGCCTGACCTGTTTTCTAGCTTCAGTACTTTATATCAATGACCTGGATGGGTCCAAAGTAAGAATGCCTAATCGACATAATTGTTTCATGTTAAT